CCACATGAGCGCTGGGCTCTGCACCTGCGCGCTCACCCCGCATCAGAGCGCTGGGCACCGCACGGGCTCGTGCACGTCTTGCGGGCTGGGGCGGGACGGGGGCACAGCCACCACGAAGGAACTGAGGGCCGTGGCCAGGACACGCGCGCTGTTGCAGCGGGACACACCCGAGTTTCCTTTTCTAGGTGCCTTGGAAGCCGGTGTAACCTTTATTCTTGTGAGCGAACCGGTGAAAGTAAAAGGAGAAATATCCGCTAGTGGGTTTCTCACTTAGCCTACAGTTTCATAGGTCTTTTCGCCCACATCCTTTCTGATGGTGCGTAGAATCAAAGCTTGATTTATATTCCGTAGTTTCCTAATTAGTAAAATGAAGACACACGCTTTACCATTTAATCGCCTGAAGTGCATTAGAGAGTAACTAGACACCACCAGTGACCACTTTGCAAAATGACTCTAGCTAAAGGAACTGATATCGGTTATTTCCTAAGCCTGTTTTCTGTTGTATTGAATTTTTTAATGAAAGGACATCAAAACCTTCATTAGTCTACAGAGAAGAAAACTGTTGCACAAGATTAAAAAATTTTTTTTCTTAGTGCATGTTTGCAGTACATACTGTTCACACTCCTTTTGTGGTGTTGGAACAGGTAAATAACTCACCGAAGTCCCTTTTTCATCCCCCTTCCCTCCCCTCCATCCCTTCTCCCTCCATCTCTTGATCCCCTTCCCCTTTGAGAAAGATCTATCTTTCTACTTTTTTTTTTTGCTTGTTATTTATAATTCGAGATCCTCATATAAGAGAAACCAGAAGGTTTTAAGGGTTAGAGCAGAAAAGAACTTGACGATTTGCTGAATTCCTTCAGAGACGGTATAACTAGTATCCTCTTAAGATGCAGAGAAGTTAATCCTTTGCACACAGTGGACGCCAAAGGCGCTTAATTCTCTCAGCAAGGCCCTAATGTGAACAGTCAGCACGTTAAGAATTTAACGACTCAGCTCTTCATTTAAAAGAAAAAAAATACAACTCTATTATCTTTACACCACTTCTTTTTAAATGTAAAGAAACATTTTGTCCGGTGGTTAAAAAAATAATAGTCACG